GAAGAGGTCTTAAATAGATTCGCAGGAAGACAAAAAAGAAGAATTAATTTTGTTAATTAACAATAAATTGTTCATTTTTAAATTAGATTTAATATTTTAATCACATTTAGGCTGTACCCTAAGGGTACCCTAATGGTAGGCACTGATGTCCCTCACTGCAACCTTCGAGCTACAATTTGCACTTGGGCGTTGGGAGGAACGACCATTGTGGAGTTAGCGGCAAAGATCTTGACAAGCACTTCCGCCTTGGCTTTTGAGTCGGATACAATCGTTCCGTCCTGACACGTAAGTGGTGGAATGCTACTGTGTGAGAAGTTATTTTCAATCTGCTTGGCCAGCGCCCAGAAAGACCGACTGCCATTTCGCTGCGACATTACCCTGTACCTAACTTTTATGTCGTGCTGGTTTTTGGAATTGCGAACCGCTTCGTTATATTTGTTTCTCGACGTAGGCTTGTCTGTTCTCTACAGTGAGGTTGGCAGTGACCTTGATCTTCTACTGGCGAGCAGTGCCACGCGATTTGTTAAACCAGCCGTTGGACCCTGGTTTAGGCACTTTCACTGTATGAGGGATGTATTCCTCCATTCCGACGTGAATAATTTCTGTTATCGAAGAACAGACAGCCGACGCATCCGCGTCAGCGCAACAGACATCTCTCCAATGAAAGGTAGAGAAGAATTCTCTGAGCCCCTACCAGTTGGCATGTCCGTAATGCCAAGTTTTGCGGCCTGTACGAGTTTCTGCTGCCACAGCGGGTTGTGACCGAAACCTAACCTCCACAACACCGTGGTCTGAGTTACCCAGGGGGGATAGGTCAGCAGTGCTGTAAAGGATAGGATGCGTGGTCAGAAAGAGATCCAGCAGGCTACTGGTATGTGACGAGACACGGGGGAGAAAGTAGGGTTTGTCACCAGCTGGGTCAGCCCTTGAGTAAGAGCGAACGCTTCAACACCTCAACTGCACGACCCGCGGCATCGGTCTTGTTTAAGCCCAACCAAAACTCATTATGGGCATTGAAATCATCGAGGAGAATTACCTCTGAAGCGGGGTGATTGATGTTCAGGAAGTCGATCTTGACGGCGAGGTATTCAAGTAGGTCATCCCAGTTATGGTCCGAGGGACAGTTATAAAGGCAGCAAATGAATTTCGTCGATGATACAAGAAAAAATCGTAACTCCGTTTCTAAGAATTTTAGACGAAAGCGTAAAAACAAATTGAGTTATGCATTATATTGTTTTAGGAATAATAGCATTATTGTGATAAATGCAATATTATATTTTAGTTGAGCAATTTCTAAATGATACTTAAAGAAAGCTGAAATTTTCAAAACAAAAATGGAAAATAGGCAAAATTAGGAATTACGTGTTTTTCCTATTTTAAACGCCATATAAAGTGGAGTTACGTGGTTTTCTTGTGTTAACAACGATTTGAGGAATGTTTTAGAGTCGACGCGAAGCCACACAATGTCCTTACGGTCTGATTCCAAAGAAACATCTCTGGAGCAGGAAAGACTGCTGCGGACAAAAGCCGTTCTTTCTTAGATTGCAGTGCACCTCGTAATTTGGGAAGCTAAGATGGTTAATCGGTGCAGACTCTGAGATTTTTGTGTACGCCAAGAAAAGCATGGCGGGACGATTGGATTGCAAGCAGTGGCGGCTCGTGCCAATTCAGTGAGGTAGTGCCAGAATGGAAGCCATAATTTTGAATCGATTCAAAATTGTAAAGAATAACTTATAACTTACCCCTGATAGTTAGTGGTCAAAGTTCTTGAGGTTCAATAAATCTATATGTTCAAAAAAAAATCAAAAATAAAACTATTTACACACGCGCACCAAATTATAAAACAAGTGTGGAGAAGTACCTATAACTTCAAAGTTTTCTATACATGAAGTCCATTCTTCTTTCTTTTTTGGTAGCAAAGTTTTCAATTACCTTATTATTAAAATTTTCAATGCCACTAACAAAATGTTTTTCTGCAGACAGCATTCCTAAAGCACTAAGCCTTTCTTCCTTCATTGTGTTTCTGAGGAAAGTTTTAATCCGTTTCAGCATTGAAAAAGAGCGTTCTGCTTCAGATGTTGACATCGGTATAGTGATTAAAATACTTAAGAGCTTAAGAGTTTCTTGAAACGTACAATTTAATCCTTCCTCGTTCAATAAAATGGATAGTGGAACAGCTCCAGAAGTAGTACTCAATTCTTCTCTCTGATATAATACTTGTAACTCAGTTTTAAGCCTGTTTTTGTCTAAAAATGAAAATTGTGTGCATGTGTCATTTAAATGTGCTTCAGGAAACTGATGTTTATAAACAGAAAACTTTTCAGACACAAATAAATTAGAAGCAACTAAATGCCCAGAAAAGTTAAATCTTGTTCTTATTTGCGATAATACTGCATCGCATATTTCTAACGCTTCCCGTTTTTTGCTGCCTTCTTCAACTTGCCTTTTTTTTCTTGCCGGTTCATCAGTTTCTCTCTGCACTCGTTCAATCTCGTCAATAATGCTATCCATTTGTTCTCGTATAGTTTGAATTGCTGCTTCAAAATTCTCTAAATCATTTTTGACCTTAACAGAATCGGTGCATACTTTTTGTAATTGGTTAAAGACAATTTCAACATGTGGCATTATTTTATGGAATATACTTAGCCAAAATACAAAATTTGTATCTTGCAGCTTTAATTTGTACCCACTGGCTTGATTAATCGACGAAGAATCGCGTGAAGTACTTTCTATATTGTCCATAACTTCAATCAGGTCTTTCCTATTTTCATAAACTGTATGAACACCTCGTGACTGAAAATTCCAACGTGTTTGGGAAGATCTTGGCAATCTGCGATTAACTATTTCATCCAAAATGTTTGTTCTTTGAGGAGACGTCGAAAAAAAAGAGCACAATCCAGATAAATTATGGAAAAATTTCTAGCCTGCTTATTGACAGAGCATGCGCTTGTCATAATTAGATTTAACTGGTGTGCATAGCAATGAACATAATTTGCAAGTGGATAAGTTTCCTTAATAATTTTTTGAACGCCATTCAATTCACCACTCATAACAGACGCACCATCATAGCTTTGAGCTATTAATTTGTTTGGATTTTGATCTAGTAATGGATTTACAACATTTAAAACGCATGCAGCGATTGATTTGGCATCGTGTCCGTCGGGGACGTAAAATCTCCAAAATCTCTCAACTGGCTGTCCTTTACACAAATATCTGAAAATAATAACTAACTGAAATTCACAGGCTACGTCAGTCGTTTCATCGGCAATTACTGCAACAAAAGGAGAATTTGCAATCTCCTTCTTAACTTCTTCATGATAAACATCTAGCATGCACTCAAGAAGCTCGTTTTGAGTTGTTTTTGAGGTACCCTTGAAAAGTTTGGCACTTTGAATATGGACTTTCAATTCGTTGTCTAATTCGGCGCTAAAATTCACCAGCTCCTTAAATATGCCTCTGTTTTCCGAATTTTCCTTTTCATCGTGACCCCTTAAGGCTAACTCAAATGCTCCACAAAACCTTATACAATTAATAATTTTATTCAATACATATCGATTCTTATCCACTTGATTATTATGTTTAATTAGATCATTGCGATAAGCCGAATTGAGTTGAGTCCTTATATTTAATTTACCAAGAATAGAAAAGCTAAAAACATTATTCATATGGACTTTAGATTTTTCGTGGGTCTTCATTTTATCCCATATATGTATAAGATCATCTGTACCTTTTTTTGACCAAGTCTCGTCACCTCCAAATAGAACACATACAAAACAAAATAGTTTATTCGTTTCTTCACAACCACATATCCAGCTGTTTTTATCGTACACATTTTTATTAAATTTGCGACAGCGCGATTTTTGTCCGCTACCACTTTGTTTCTCAATTTTTAAATCGGGTATTGGCCGTCCTAATTCTTTAATTTGCAGTTTTTGATCCAGCGAAAAACCACTAAATGAGTTTTTTAATATCCCGATTTTATTCATTTTCACTAGTTTTAATAAAACAGTAAAAAATATGATCACAAAACAGAGCAGTTCATTAACACTAGACGTACTAAAACAAAAACGTTATTTCTCACTTTTCAGGTAAAAAAAGACCGAAATCAGCACTAGACGTAATCATAACGAAACGACGCTGCGATGCTGGTAAAATTTCTCTCTTTTTATTTGGGCCGGCCCGAAATTGGCACAAATTGATGACGTCAAGGTCAAGGCATGCTTTCCATCTCGTCGCGTGGTTCGGGTGCTTGCGGTGTTGTCACGTTGTCAGTGTTGTCACTTCATATAATTTATACCAAAAAAAAAAATGAAAAAGCAAAAAATAAAGTAAAACATTGAAGATTGAAAAAAATATTCTTTTTGAAGAAGACAAGGTAGTGCCATGGCACCGTGGCACTACCTCACGAGCCGCCACTGATTGCAAGTAGTGATAAACAGCATCAATGTTGCTGTTAATCCCGCAGATGTTCGAAAAACAAAGCTAGCGGGTGGTACTGCCTCGGTCGACTGGTCCTTGTCTACCACCTTCTTTTTGCGTGTTAATGATATTAAGGAGACATAAAGTGGCCCGTTGGCGGACTTGTACTGCCACCCGGCAATCAGTACTGAGGTATTCCTTAACGCGTGTACAATAACTTGAACGGCAAGAAATTGTATACTCGATACAACAACTTCCGGAACAAACATTTGCCACGGCCCCGCTCAATAGGGGGGCTGCCGATTCTGGTGCTAACAAACTAGAAATATAGCTTTCGTTCATCAGACCACAGACGGCCAACCATGAACAGCTGTTTCGTGCCATTTGGCAGCTCGTCAGCGGCTGGCATTTATTCAACATACATTTAAAGGCTAGTCATATACGTAGTAGTATGATTCACGTTCCTAGTTTAAAAAGGAATTTGCATCCTCAGTCTTCAACTCACTGCATATCATCAATTTAAAAATGGCAAAAAATCCAAATATTTAGAATGTACAAAGCGGAGGAAAAAACTTTTGATCCTTATTTCTTGTTGGTTTTATTAAATATTAGAAGCTTTTTCAAAGTTTGTCGAACTTGGCCGCGAGTATTATATAACAAAACACAACAAACTGTTATAGCTAATTAGTTAATAATACATTGTATATTTCCATTTTTATTGAATCACACAACTAAATAGAGATTCTCGAATGTTTCAAAATCTGCAAGATCAGCTTCATCGCAACAACATAAATATTGTACTTAAAATCTTAACAATTACGTGAGCAAGATAAAACTTATTGGAATTAAAGATATAAATGTATGTATATCACAATTTTCAAAACACCATGTATACTCCATATATTTACTAACTATGGATCAGAGTTCAATCAGTTTAGGACATAAGGAATGTTTATAATTTATTATGAACAAAACATGCTTTAATCAGATTAATTTACCTCAAAAAAAGTATTTCAAAGTAATCTTCTGCAGAGTGTACCTTAAGAATACCGCTGTACCAAAGTGAAGCACATTCGACATTATCGAGAACTAAAAAAGATTCGATATTCTTTGTGCTGATTAAACTCACGTTTGTCTTTCGAAACAATCTACACCCGTTTGTTCAATAAATAAATACTGGAACGTACAATTTTCTTGACCAAGGCTGCCCTGTTAAACATTACTGTCGGCTTCTTTCGTTTTGTCCAATTCATGATCTTGGGTGTTATTGGCATCCATAGTCGCTTCCAATGGCCTGGAAGCAAAACCGTTTCTGCAGATATGGGCTATCTCACTGGTGTCTCTACCTCTGGTTTCTGGTAGATAGAATCTAAAGATAAACATACAGGTTAAATCGTCATCACGTATAATACTTCAACTAGAAATGGCTAACGAGTTTGTTGAACTTTTTTTGGGAAAAATCACATATCTAAAAACAATTATCAAACTCCTCACTTTAGATTTCGTCGATCTATTTTGGCAGCTCTACATAGCGGTAGGAAGTCTCCATTTTACTCATGTATATCACGTCATATTGGTTTCATCGTGTTTTGATCCTCAGTAAATAACTTTCACTGCTTTTTAGAAAGAACATGCCATATAGTAATACCTACCTCACGAATAGGTATAATGTAAGCGATATAGCAGCAAAAATGAAAAACCAAGCTGCCCCAATATAGACCTTCAGTATGGGGAAAAGAAGACCTACGATGAAATTGCCTCCCCAGTTGAACATACTGCCCAATGCCATGGCGCTTGATCTAGCTCCTACCTCAAATAGTTCTGATCCGATAAAGTAGGGAATCGGCCCCAAACCTACACCATAGCATATGACGAAGCCTAAAAGACCGATTGTGCTTACGTAAGCCACCCATGAGAAAAATTGCTGGAACAGAATGCGTACGTTAGGTCTACAAAACACTTACAGTTCAGTAATATCGCAAATTTAAATAAAAGCTACTCTGCTAAAGTATTTTCTTTATCGTAAATATATACTTTTACAATCTTCAAGCAAAATGTAAAATTCTGTAATTTTTTATATTGATTACTTCTATGGAAACAGCAACGTCAAATGATACTTACAATGTAAATTAGCCCCAATCCCAAGACAATAAGGGATGCAATAGATGTTTCTAAGCTGAACAACATGCATTTGCGTCGGTCTACGTTTGACATTAGAGGTATAGATATCACAGCCATTGCAAAGTTGAATATTCCAGCGCCTATTGTTGCTAATTCGGCAGCTGTACTTGTTAATCCGGCAGCTTTAAAAATGTCAGTCGAATAGTAGAATACCTGAAATACAACTTGATGGAAGTTATCATTTTTTGATGTACATTAGCAAGAGCAAAAATCTTCTATATATTTAAAATCAGGATAATACGCATGGGGATCTCAATAACTGTGGGAGAGACAGCTTAGGTTAAATTAGAGAAGAGCTGAGTTCTTTGTGGAATATCTACATGCCCCTGAGAAACTTACAAAAATTTCATTGCTTACTGAGGTATTTGAAAAAAACTAAAATTTGGCTTAATCATTTTATTTTTGTCTAACTTTATTTTAAGGAATATCAAAAAAATAATGGAACTTTCTCATGGACACTTTTTAACCACTACATGATGGTGTTTTTAAATTTTGTGCCCGACGTTTCGTTTTTGAGAAACCAACATCAACTTTATTTTTTCTATATGGTCCGAAAAAAGTTCACCTTATGTCTGATAGCATCTTGTTCTACGAATTCAATGATGTTTCACATGTTACTTTTGTTTTCATTTTTATTATTTTATTTATTTTTTTATATAAGTAGATGCATATTACATATTACATAATGAAGTAAATATTTAGAATATGATGCTTAATCTAGTGATATTCAGAATAACGAATACATTTTGAACATTATTTTTATTTTATTCACAATAGGTGTTTAAATAGGTTGCCATTATTTTCTAAACATAAGTATGTTCTTCTAGCAGTAGAATTCAAAACATTACGTAGAAGTTCTGGTGTAATCTTAGTAAATGCTTCCGTTACACATTCTCGTAAATGCTGTCCAGCTCCAAAAGTTTGCTGATAAACTTGGTTTTTAATAAAACCCCAAGCAAGAAAGTCCAGATTAGTTAAATCCGTGTAACGCGCTGGCCAGGGCACTTCACTGGTGGTTCCAATTCACCTTCCGGGAAATCGCTGAGAAAGATACTCTCGAACTACACGCAGGAGCACCGTCTTGTTGAAACCAACAGCTATGCCAAAGGTAAATTATCCGAGCAGTCTTCTAGATCATGTTGCAACAATTGAAGGTTACTGTTCTGCAGTTAATGAGTTGTCGTAAATAAATGGAACTAATATTGGTGACCCTAGAATTCCTCACCACATATTAAACCTAAAACGTTCTTGATGTCTGGATACTTTTTTTCAGCCCGCATTTTCTTGAGCCCAGTAATGTGGTGGTTAAACATACCATTATTAGTGACCATACTCTCGTTGGATCATATTATTTTTTAATGGAAATTAGAATCTTCTTCACACGTTCGAGTGTACCACTCACAAAAATGCTGGCGCCGTTCGCTATCCTCTGGTCTAAGTCGTTGGCTAATCCTCAATTTATAGGGGTGATATCTATTTTTACGCAGAATAAATTGACTGTGGATTTGGCTACTCCTACATTAATCTCAATGTGCCCAGTTGATATCTCCTAGTTCTCAGCAGTTCCTTATAAAACACTTCCAAGTTTCGTCTAAAGTTTCCTTTTTTCGAGACGTAACAGGCTTTTTGGAAGAACCATATTCATTTAAATTTCAAGCCAACTCTGAGAAAATAATGGACTTCTTGGTAGCCTTCTTTATCGAGATTCATTAATGCAGTATTTTTAGTATTTTTGTAGCACATAATGTACCACATCAGCATGACGAACTTTTCTTCATTGCTAAAATCACCGCCTGGAATGTTTGATGATAATATATAATAATAAAACAATATTAACAATTCTCAATAATAGCACTACTCAGTGACAGGTATTTACGTCAAGTCAAGCATTTGTTTGCAACGACTACTAAAAAAAAAAAATTAAAAAAAAAACAGAAAAATAGTATTTTTTCTTATAACCAAGAAAGTAAATGTAACATGTGATACATAAAAAAAAAACACCATCATATAGTGCCCAAAAAGTGAGAGTGAAAAATTTTTACATTAGGTTTTTGATATTTCTTAAAATAAAGTTAGAAAAAAATTGAAATAATTTGGCCAAATTTTAGTTTTTCCCAAATATCTGTCCGCCATGAAATGTTTACAAGTTTCTCAACGGCATTTAAATACGCCCCAACGAATGCAAGTCTTTCCTAATTTAACCTAGGCTGTATCTCCAACAGATTATGAGATCCTCATGCATAGGATCCTTATCTTAGAGACCCTGTATAAATGTGAATGTCTGTCCGGTCTGTTGGCATCACGTCTGTACCACAATACGGATAGGCGTAAGAATTTCTAAACTTGCTAACTGAAACCCGAGTAATTTATCCCCGAAAATGTTCAAAAAGTATGCATAGACCAAAATATCTCGAAAAATACGTTTCCTAGAGGAAAATGTAGAACAAAGTTGTAAGGTTTGGTGGACTTGAACGTGACCTTGACTATGACCCTCAATGACATTTGAAGGTCAATACAGTTTTGTTAAATGAAACCCCTATTTTTGAAATCGAAAATGTAAAGAAATTTTACTCAAAATTGACCATGATCTTCATGGGTTTTTGAGGGTGTCCAGAAAGTAGAGAAAAGACAACATGGGTGGCGAGCACGAACCGAGAGGATCCAACACTCAGTTAGTTTGTTGCTGGAAGTAAATATATGAAAGTCATGGGAAAATTAACTCCATACAGTTGTGTCGCTTCAGTATTAAGAATATTATATCATGATTCAAACATGGAACTCCTGAAGTTGACAATTTCATATTTTCAGCAATTTACTCAGTTACTTAGTTGGTGCTCGCTGCCCAATATCCTGAAAAATGCGTTCATAAAGAAAAATGTAGCATAATAAAGTTGTATGGTTGGATAATGGCTTTCTTGAGTGAAAATTTGGCACCGGAAATGAAAATGAAAATTCATTTTGAAGTATGTCAATGATCTTGACTATGACCAACAAGGTCATGTGTAGATCAAGTTTTTAACATGAATCATCTATTTTTAACTCCTGAAATGCTAATTGCGGAAAGCATGTCCTTGGCAATGAAACTAACTATGATCTTCCAGGTCATTTTAAGAGCAGATAAGTCTTCAAGCAAACTCGACGACGAATAAAAAAGCGAAACATTGAAATTAATTTATTGTTGCATTAAAACAGATGTTCATTGCCAAAGTAACTATTGAATTACTTTAAATATTGGGATTCTTTTTCCAAAATCCATCTTCTTCACACTGATGCGAAACGCATGACCAATACTTCACACTACTTCCACGCGACCGCAGTCATGGGTTTAGTCTAGTTCAGAATAAAGTTCATCAGTATCGTTGATCAGTACGTAGCGCTATTTGCTGAGTTTACATATACGTAAACGTTTGCCTTAAAATAGTTTAGCTTGCCTTGTCTCTATGTTAGCTTGTTGGTAATAAAGTCACTTATTAATTATGTAAATGTAGATAAGGCAATAGAGATCCTTATGTTTTGAAGAACGCGACGAATATCATATCTGTCACGATGCTTGTGCATTTTAGTTGATTTACAAAAGCTCTGGAACGAAACATGCTTAATTTACTCGGTTGTCCATAAATTCTTTTCTCTGGATATTTTATTGATTTTGTTAATATTCTTTTTTTAAAATAATATTTATCCAAACTAACCGCATTTATTCCACTGAATTGTTGCCCTGCTTGTAAAGAGCAAACCAACGTGAGAGGTAGTAACAGAGAACGATCCGTTATCACTTTTCCCAACCCAATGCTGACTCCTGCATTTTTCCTGTTTTCGTCTGCTTCAATTTTCAGACTCTCTATTTCGTCTATCAACAACTCCTTTTGTACTCCACGAATCACTTGCAATTCTGTAAACATGAAACAACAAGCAACGAGATGTGAGAAAGCAAAAATACGCCTCGATATAAATTTGATCAAGTGATCTCATAAAAATTACAAGAATTCTCGTTTCCCAGATATAGTCTGACTGGATGATAAATAAGCTTTCCAACGAATGTTCAACAAAATACTTGGCATAACGAGCTCTCCCACATTTAAGAAATTAACTAAATATTGTTCTGGTGTGACACTATTCAAATATAACACCAAATAAATAGCTTCTTATAACATTTCATAACTCACCTTTCAAGGCAGCTTGTGGTTGGTTTTTTACAACAAACAAAAACTTTGGGCTTTCTGGTAGTAATGGCAGAACGAAAATGGAAATAAAAGTCGGCAATGCGTAAATAGCTAAACAGTGAGGCCAATAGTCCTCGTTCCCTAAAAAATACAAAATCCTAGTATAATAAAGTATTCAATTAATATTTGTGAATATCGAACCTAGTAAACTATTCATGGATAACACTTGTCCAGATAGTACGCCAAATGTTAATCCTAAGGGGCATAGGCCACCCATTGCTCCTTTCAGTCTTAGAGGTGCCAACTCTGTTAAGTACATTGGCATGACGCAGGTAGTTAAACCTGAAACAATTATAAAGTGACATATCGTACCCATCCAAAAATTAAAAAAAATAGTGATATACTTCTAGTAAATGTTTTATTACTCCTGATAATTGCAGACTGCTTATAGATGAGCGGATCAAAATAAAATAAAAAAATATACATAATACATAAAGAGAAAAAGCATTATGAAAAAAGTGCATGTATTCAGTCTCTGACACTATATGGCTCTATATTAACTAAGTGCCATCTGACCAAAAATTTCAGATTTGCGTAATATGTAGTCTTTTCAGTTAAAGTTAGTCTATGCCTAGGATAATGTACATTTAAATTTATTGTGTTGTATGATACACTGGTAGGTCAAACATATCTCTATGCTTAAAAAAAGAAAATCAAGCATTCATATACCTATGTATAGTCCATATGTCAAAACGCCATTGGATCTAAAAGTACCTTTACGAGGGTGGTCTGAACAGTTTCCGACCTTAACGTTAAGATTGCAGCAATCGTAAATAAGAACTAGTGAATTTCGTTGTTCATCTGTTGACAATTCCTCGTCAAAGTTTAAGCCATTTTGGACGCGCAGTTTTAGTGAGTTGATGTGTTTTTATAAAAATGGTCAAAATTGAGTATCGTGCTGTCATTAAATATTTGTTTTTGAAAGGCAATTCGCCTATGCAAGTCAAAGATGAGTTGGATTCTGTGTATGGGGACTCTGCACCATCATTTACCACAGTGAAATTTTGGTCGTAAGAGCCACCAAATAGTGCTAGACGACCGCCGAATTAAAGTGAGAGACTTAGCACAGGTTATGAACATGTGAAAAAAACATGTTTGTCACATATTAAATCAACATTTAGGCATTCGAAAGCTGCCCGCGCGTTGGATGCCACGTATGCTCACGTTAGACCAAAAACGTGTTCATATGAACATTTAGCAGTTTAGGCGCAATAAATCCGAGTTTTGGCGCCGATTAATTACTGAAGATGAAACTTGGATACACTATTATACGCCCGAAACAAAAATACAGTCCAAACAGTGGACTGCAAAGGGGGAACCGACTCCAAAAAAAGAAAAAGACGTTTTTCAAAAAGGACAAACCATTGCAGGAGCATACTACGCATCATTACTTGACAAGCCGAAGGCAGAACTTGCGGAAAAACGGCCACATTTGCAGAAAAAGAAAATTCTGTTTCACCAAGTCCACGCACCACATCTCACACCCTAGCGGTTGCCATGGCAAAAATCCACGAATCACGGTTTGAAGTGCTTGACCATCCGCCTTAATCACCAGATCTAGCCCCAGGCGACTTCTTTTTGTTCCCTTATCTAAAAATTGCATTTGGAGTACAGAGATTTTCGTCAAATGAAGAGGCAATCACATTCTTGAACAATTATTTTGCCTAGTAGGCCGAGTACTATTTGGACGGGCTACAGAAATATACTTAACTATTCTAAGTACCCGTTTTTGTACAACGAAGATTCTATGTACTGCACTAGTACTCGTACAGAAAATAAATCCATAGGTAAGCACTGATCCAAAGTTTGCATAATATATAATTTTCACACTTTTTCTGTCATATTTTATTCATCATAGTTGTGGTGTGACCAGACAAAGAATTCATCTAAATCGTTGATTCCCAAAGTGGTCTATATCGACCCCTAGGGGTCTATGACAAACTGAAAGGGGTCTACGTCAGCGAAAAAAAATTTGGGGGTCCATGAAATGAATATGGGGGTCCACGATAGTGCATCTCAACACATACACTGATAGTACCTATTTACTTACATCATACTATCTTATAATATCAAAACATATACATTATTTATAAAAGTACCTATGAAGTAAAAAATTTATTATATATGTTTATAAAATTGTGTAAGTTGTAGGATGTTGGTATTCGCTTTGTGGTCGCAATACATTTTGAACTTGTAAAAACCTGAGAGTCGCAGTCTCAGAGCTTCGCTACCTTGCACTGACTTGTTCAATTCGTCACTTTATAAATATACTAAGTGACATATAAATCCGAACACCCAGTTTAAATGTTTTTATTTTAATAAAATTTTGTATAAGTACTTAATGAAGCATAATAAGTAAATAATAAAAATTTCAAAATGATTGCACTGCTTTAAAGCCCTTTGACCTTTAATAATGTGTGGATGCACCCTGATGTGCTACGCATTCTCCAACGCGCCTAGGCATGCTTCTGATCAGGTGGTCAATGTCCTCCTGTGGTATCTCATTCCAGGCAACCACCAACTCCTCTCGAAGTGCTTCTAGAGTCTGAGGAGGACGTTGCAAATTGAGCAATCTCCTACCCATCATATCCCACACGTGCTCAATTGGGGATAAGTCGGGAGATCTTGGTGACCATGGTAACAATGTGACATCATTATGTTGAAAGAAGTCTATTGTGACTCTTGCAACATGTGGTCGGGCATTATCTTGTTGGAAAGTTGGATCTGCCAGGGTGTCAAGATAGGGTAAAAGATGGGGTTCTAGAACTTCGTGGATATAACGCTGCGCGTTCATGTTACCTCTGATGAAGATTAAAGGTGACCTGGAACCATAAGCTATAGCACCCCAAACCATAACTCCAACAGTGTGATGAACATGTCTTTCAACAAAAAACTGTGGATTCCTCCTTTCACCACGTCGCCTTCTAACCCTGACACGACCATCGTGCATGCCTAAACAAAATGGAGACTCGTCACTAAAGACAATACTGTTCCATTCCTGATCCCAGAGTGACCGTTGTCTGCACCACTCAAGGCGATTACGTCGGTGTTCTCGAGTTAAAGGGAGGACCCAGTGTGGCCGGTATGAAAACAAGCCAAAACTTCTCACTCGTCGGTAAACACTTCGCATGCCAATAGGTCTTCCGTGTTCTGCAAACCATTCATTTGCAATGGACCTGGTAGTGGAGAAACGGTCCCTTAAGGCCAATAATCTTAGGCGGCGATCTTCACGGTCTGTTGTTCTACGGCGGCGTCCAGTGCACCTTGCTCTTTGCGTACGGCCTTCTCGAAGCCATGCCTGACAACACCTAACCACAGTTGTCTACACTTCTTTGCACTCTAACGGCAATTGCCCGAAAAGAAAGTCCAGCTTCCCGAAGTCCCACTATACGGCCCCTATCAAACTCACTAAGTTGACGAAATCGTACAGGTCTCCGTACTCTAGGCATCGTAACCGACCGTAAAGGATGTCAAGAACCAAAATCCGCCAACGTTGATTCTTTACTGCGGCTGAAATATTCATTTTTAGAGCGTTAGTGAATTAAAAAAAAGCAGTATAAAAACCGGAATGTCCAACTGACAAGGCTGAAAATTTTTTCACTTGTTATTTACAGTAAGATAAATACATTCACCAACTTTTATTAAAATAAAACCATTTAAACTGGGTGTTCGGATTTATATGTCACTTAGTATACGAATGTGGGGCAAATACGTTTATTCGTTTCCTGAATCTTGAAAAGGAAAGTGCTTAGAAAATATTTTAAAAAATATAAACAGCTAGTATATCACACAAATTATAGTGAGTCAGTGTTATTTTGTTTGAGAGTGCTGGAGAAAAGTAAGTACATTATTTTTTATTAAATTTTAGTTTTGTACTCGTAGTTAGCAAAGATAGATATATTACGCCAATCATGACTTTAGTTATTAGTAGTTATATATTCAATCATGCAAAATTACACGAGTACTCCTCAATAGTTTCTTTTTGAACGTTTTAGCAATCGGTAATATAATTACAGTGCAATCTCCGTAATTCGAGCTAATTGTTGCAAGAAGATGTTCGAATTATGGAATGTTTTCGGAAAAATCAAAAAATATTTTTAATATACAGCTGCTGGAGTTTCTGTCTTATTTAAATAATTTAATTTTGCCCACAGATGACTGATGCCATGTCCGAATCTAAAAAGAAATGTAGACAGTACAGTGTTGATTATTTGAAATTTGGCTTCATTCCATCATTGCCGGACAAACAATCGCCTATGTGCCTTTTATGCAACAAAGTTTTGGGCAATGACGATATGAAACCATCTAAACTGCAAGATCATCTGAGAAGATGCCACCCTGATAAAACAGAGAAAGATTTGAAATGCTTTCAAACACTCAAAGATAAATTTCAGAAGAGACCTACACTGGACAGAATGTTCGCTTCGACGTCACAAAGAAATGATGATGGTTTGCGGGCGTCTTACAATATCTCGTTACTTATAGCAAAATCCGGAAAACCGCATACTATCGGAGAGAAGTTAATTTTGCCAGCCGTTGAAGAGGTTTTAAAAACTGTTTTACACAAACCTGCATCTGATATCATTAAAATAATTCCCTTAAGCAACAATACTGTTGAAAGACGTATTGATGAAATGAGTTCTGATATTGAAAGCTTCTTATGTAATTATTTGCAAACGACCCATTTCTCTATACAACTGGACGAGTCAACTTTACCTGATAATGCAGCATTATTATTGGCATATGTTCGTTTTATTATGAATCAAGAAATCTACGAAGAACTGCTCTTCGCAAGAACTTTGATAACCGACACTAAAGGTGAATCAATATTTCATGTTTTGAAGGATTACTTCATTGAAAAAGCAATTCTTTTATCAAATATAATATCAGTAGCTACAGATGGAGCACCTGCCATGGTTGGACGTTATCGTGGATTTATAAGCTATTTAAAACAAAATTTGTCAGGGGTGTTAGCAATACATTGCGTCATCCATCGACAACATTTAGTTGCTAAAAATGTGAGTGTTAGATTGCACGAATCACTTCATTTAGTCATTGATGCAGTAAACCGAATCAGAAGCAACGCGTTGAATGCGCGGTTATTTGCGCAGTTGTGTGAAGAAAATGACGAACACTTTCATCAATTACTCCTTCACATTGAAGTACGCTGGGTGTCGAAAGGCTTATGTTTGACAAGATTTTTTGCACTTTTTGAGACTATTTTAGAATTTCTGGATACTAAAGATAAAATTTTAAAAGGAAATTCAATGAAGAGGAAAACAGACCTATTTAACAGATTTGTTTACAAAATTTAATATGGTTAATTTGCAATTACAAGGCGACAGTTTAAATTTGATTAAAACAAAGTCCATCTTATCAGCGTTTCTTGCCAGAGTTAAACTAATGAAGCAAAATATTGGACGGGGCGAATTTTCTCAGTTCCCAATTTGTCACAGACAAGCTGCCAGGAAGACGACGTTTCAACTTACGTTCAACATTTAAATGCCCACTATTCAGGTTTTGAATCTGGGTTTGAGGATATTTTGACTATGGTAATACCAGTAATACCACCGTGGATAATTAATCCATATGGTGACATAGAAGAAACGAATGTCATAATACAAGAGGAACTGAGTGAACTAAGTATAAACGAAGAACTTAAGGTTCAGTTTAAAAACGGATATCAGCAATTCTGGCTACGAAACAACATACCCGTTACTTATCCCGTATTATGTAATATAGCGAGGAAATTTTTAATTTCCTTTCCATCGTCATACCTAGTGGAAAGGGGATTCAGCGCTGTTACCAATCTCCTAACGAAAAAAAGAAACAGACTGGACATCATTAGCCGAGGAGATTTAAGATTAACCCTTACAAAATTGATGCCAAATGTTGATAATTGAATTGAAATTGCTTATGTTATTTTATTTATAGTTTATTTTATGTTTATTGGTGTCTGACCGATAAATGCCCGCATTGGGAATAAGTGCCCGCATTGATTTTTTTTAAAGAACCCCCCTTTTTAGAAAATATTTTTTTTAAATTATTCTTAAAATTCAAGGATAAAATTCGTTAATTTTTTGCCTATTTTTAGATAACTTAAACGTATAAGAAGCGGAATTTAATCAAACTAACAGTGAAATTATTGTAGAACATACGTTTATGTTATAATTAATAAACGAACACGCTTATTGTACTATTTTAAGTAAAAAACTTTTTTTATAATTTTCACTTTTTTTATTTTATCCCTCTTATTTTTTTTCAATGCGGGCGCTTATTCCCAATGCGGGCACTTATTGGTCAGACACCTGTTTATTTAATGTTACTTATATTTTACATAACAGATAAAAAATTTTATTTTGAGTAGTTTTAATTTAAATTCAATTAATAAATGTATAAATTAACATGTGTTTTTACTTTAAGTTTTTAACACTAAACTTCACTACAGTTAGAAATTTACAGGAAATGAATATCAGGTAAGTAGGGGGTCTACTCAACACGGAAAAACATGGCAAGGGGTCTACGACACAAAAAAGTTTGGGGAACTCTGATCTAAATGAACACCAAAAAATTTAGTATTGAAAACCGATTGCAACTTTGACTGCCCGAAACTGAATCCAGGCTTCTCAACTCTATTTTGTCTCGTTCTGAACATTAATATATTAGTTTTAGTTTCATTAAGTTGTAACACGTTATCTGAAAACCACGTTTTTGCTCTCGAAAAAAGGTTTGCTCCAATACTGCAAGATCCTCAACAGACCTTTCTCCTATTAGTAAATTATAGCGTCGTCAGCAGAACAGGCCACACATTCATTCTCTGAGGTTATAATGTGTGCCATGTCATTTAGAAATATGATGATTAACAAAGGACCAAGAATACTGCCCTGAGCAATTCCAGTTTTGTTTTCCTGAAGACTTGAAAAATACCCTCTACCATTCTTAGTTATTTTCATTTTCTGTTGTCTATTTGTCAAGCGTGATATGAACCACTGCAATGCATGACCCCTTATTCCATATGACTCTAATTTCTTCAATAAAATGTGCTGGTTAACGCTGTCATATGTCTTTGACAGATCCAAACAAATGCCTATTGTCGCCATCGAACTACTCTATACGTACTATCTGTTTTGTGAAATTAAATATTGCTGTGTGTGTGTATCTGCCAAGTACATAACTGTGCTGTATTAGATTTAGCAAAATACATACCTGGCAAAAATTTAATCTATGCCCACACAGAGCTCGAATAGTTTTAAAAAACTTGGCAACAAACTAATGGGTGTATGATTCTCTATTAGCTGTGCATTTCCTTTTTTAAATAAGGGCTTAGTTAGAGTGCAGCTTTTAGTTGGTGGTGGAAAATACCATGTCTAAATCAATTATTATGTTTAAATAGCAGAGAACATTCCAATTGCGGGTATTGCAAATTTAACAATAAATGCAAAAACAATGCTGTTGAGGTATTACCTCTTTAAGAATAGACGACTGATCATTTTTTTTAATTTTCCAGTTCAGTCAGCCAAGGAACCAACATTATTTAGTTGCTTTAATAAGTCAGGTATGAGAGTAAATATTTGTTGTATCCTTGGGAAATCTTCTCACGGTCGCCTTTAATCGTGATGAGATCACATAAGTTTGAATTTATACCTGTTATTTCGTTACAAATAGTCCACAAGCATTTGCTTTTATTGTCCGAAGACCGCAGCCGACGTTCATATTCCTCTGATCGTAGAGCTTTCAGTAGATTGTCATAAAACTGTCGTTTAACCTAGATGTTAAAAGCTTGTCTAGTAGGTTTTTACATCAATGAATTTTTGGATCGTACTATTCGTCATTTGTTTGTCTGGGTGGACCGTAGGACCTTTGCCCATTACTCACTGTCTAATGTACGTTAGTCGAATCTGTCAGTCCTGGTTGCCCAGAAACCAGAAAATGTTAAGGAAAAAGAGAAAGGAAAAGAGAAGAAAAAAGGAGAAGAGCAAAGAGAAAACACCTAGGCTTTTTGACTTGGTACACGGATTAATTTTGAGGTGAACTAAACAAATTTTGATTCGGTTTTGTTAGAGTGTAATTTTAAATTTACTAAAAGTTAGCGCTAATTTTTGATTACAGTGCGAGCCGTGGCCTTGAATGTTTACGAACTTGCTACACTGTGTAGTCCACTAAGTCGCACAACAGAGGGATGCTGTGCGATTCCGCTTGACTATAACGTCGCCGCGCGGCCGCACCTGAAGCTTGACGTAATCCCTCAAGTAAGGAATGTGACGGTCTGTGTAGTGTCTCGTTTGAGATGTACCATGGAGCGTTTCAAATTCTTCGCAAAGTTCTACTTTGCAGTACTTGAAGACTTTGCATGTGTGTTTTGGCAAGAAAACACCAAGCCGCACATGTATAAGTAATGGCTGGTCTAATAATCATTTTATAAAGGCGAACTTTGTTTATCAAACTCAATTTGGAGGATCTACGGGCCCCTTCCCACATCAGTTGGCCCAACTATTGAAATCTTAGTAATTTTTCTTATCAAACACAAATAATAAAAATGTAGCAGGGTGTTATAGGTTTAAAATATTAACAATGAATATTTTGATAATATATAGTAGAAAACACCAACTTTATCACTCCCTAATCAAATTTGCAGCATAAAAATAACACATGTTGCAATTACAGCATATCAACCTATTTTCATTTCAATGCAAAATAAGTCTATAAAGCATAGGTGGCTGTGAAAAATAAAAGCCATGACAATTGTTTTTATTAATCACAGCTGTCAGAATACGTTTAAAATAGTTTTGGGTAGTTAAGGTTTTCAAAATGGGTAGAGGAAAGGTTATTAGTGAGAAAATTCGGTTACTGATAATTAAATTTTTTGATTCTGGGAAATCAAACTCAGAAATTGCAACTTTGTTAGACTTATCGCGGTACAGTGTGAGAAATATTGTTATAAGATATAACGTAACTGGCTCAGTTAATATTAAGCCACGATATGTGAAAAAAAGTAATATCACAAATGCCGACCGAAGAGCATTAAGAAGAATAGTCTTGAAAAACAGGGGATTTAGCACTTGCAAGGTAATTTTTCTTATAAAAAAAGTGAAGTAAAAACCCTAAAGTTGCACAACTTGTTTATAGGCCAAAGAAAAGCCACCATTAACTCCACTGCAAAAGAAAAATCGGCTTAGATGGGCTAAAGAACATAGACAATGGATACCTCAACAATGGTGTGCAATACAATGGAGTGATGAGGCCCGATTCGAAGTTTGTGTTGGTGACAGTCGCAGTAGAGTTATTCGCAAAAAAATGAAAAGTGAAATTTCCAGCATCCATTATGGTCTGGGGCAGTATGTCATCAGAAGGAGTAGGAAAACTTCATTTTATTGATGGAAATGTGGATACAAAAAAGAGTGTTTGACATCCGGCCACGATTTTGTGTTTCAGCAAGATGGTGCAGCATGCCATACCACAAAAAAGGCTATAAATGGACGGAATAAAATAATGTACCACTTTCTAAATGGGTTTCTAGCAGTCCAGATCTGTCACCTATTGAAACTTTGTGGCATGAGATGAAAAAGGTTCTTCGACAACATCCTGCTCGTACAATCACCGAACTGAGACAAAAGCTTCAAGAAATATGGGATTGTTTTACACCAAATTTTTGCCAAAACTCTATGCCCCAAAGAATTTCAGCCGTAATAAAAAATAAAGGTGATGTTACCCCAATGGTAATCTTTTAATTGTTGATTTGTTAACTTCGCGGATTTATTCGCACATTGTTTATTTGTTCAGATGTTCTATTAGTTATAGGTCTAAGGCCCGTATCGTCAGTCGTCCCTACAATTGTAGGGCGCCTTTATGGCCTCCTTGATTGTCATAGTTTTCTACTTCTCCGTGTCAGCGCTCTATTTTGAGGTTATGTCACAAACATCTATTTGCATCAAATTGTGCTTGCTTTTGAGTTATATCATGATTGACCAGCCTGAAATTTCCTACAATTTAAAAAGAAAACATATCTTTACGATAGGAGAGTGCTGACGCTGACACGGGACAGGTGTAATCTAGAAATTTTTGAAGGAGAGAAAGGAGTATGACAATCAAGGAGGCCATAAACGCGCCTTGCAATTGTAGGGACGACTGACGATACGGGCCTAAGTTATTTCAATTATGTATTTTTTACGACTAGAGTGTATCTAAAATGTTTTTGAGAAAATAAATTGTTTTAGAAGTAAATATACTAAGTGACATATAAATCCGAACACCCAGTTTAAATGGTTTTATTTTAATAAAATTTTGTATAAGTACTTAATGAAGCATAATAAGTAAATGATAACAATTTCAAAATGATTGCACTGCTTTAAAGCCCTTTGACCTTTAATAATGTGTGGATGCACCCTGATGTGCTACGCATTCTCCAACGCGCCTAGGCATGCTTCTGATCAGGTGGTCAATGTCCTCCTGTGGTATCTCATTCCAGGCAACCACCAACTCCTCTCGAAGTGCTTCTAGAGTCTGAGGAGAACGTTGCAAATTGAGCAATCTCCTACCCATGATATCCCACACGTGCACAATTAAAGAAAAGTCGGGAGATCTTAGTGGCCATGGTAACAATGTGACATCATTATGTTGAAAGAAGTCTATTGTGACTCTTGCAACATGTGGTCGGGCATTATCTTGTTGGAAAGTTGGATCTGCCAGGGTGTCAAGATAGGGTAAAAGATGGGGTTCTAGAACTTCGTGGATATAACGCTGCGCGTTCATGTTACCTCTGATGAAGATTAAAGGTGACCTGGAACCATAAGCTATAGCACCCCAAACCATAACTCCAACAGTGTGATGAACATGTCTTTCAACAAAAAACTGTGGATTCCTCCTTTCATCACGTCGCCTTCTAACCCTTGCACCGACGTAATCGCCTTGAGGGGTGCAGACAACGGTCACTCTGGGATCAGGAATGGAACAGTATTGACTTTAGTGACGAGTCTCGATTTTGTTTAGGCATGCACGATGGTCGTGCCAGGGTTAGAAGGCGACGTGGTGAAAGAAGGAATCCACAGTTTTTTGTTGAAAGACATGTTCATCACACTGTTGGAGTTATGGTTTGGGGTGCTATAGTTTATGGTTCCAGGTCACCTTTAATCTTCATCAGAGGTAACATGAACGCGCAGCGTTATATCCACGAAGTTCTAGAACCCCATCTTTTACCCTATCTTGACACCCTGGCAGATCCAACTTTCCAACAAGATAATGCCCGACCACATGTTGCAAGAGTCACAATAGACTTCTTTCAACATAATGATGTCACATTGTTACCATGGCCACCAAGATCTACCGACTTTTCTTTAATTGAGCACGTGTGGGATATCATGGGTAGGAGATTGCTCAATTTGCAACGTTCTCCTCAGACTCTAGAAGCACTTCGAGAGGAGTTGGTGGTTGCCTGGAATGAGATACCACAGGAGGACATTGACCACCTGATCAGAAGCATGCCTAGGCGCGTTGGAGAATGCGTAGCACATCAGGGTGCATCCACACATTATTAAAGGTCAAAGGGCTTTAAAGCAGTGCAATCATTTTGAAATTTTTATCATTTACTTATTATGCTTCATTAAGTACTTATACAAAATTTTATTAAAATAAAACCATTTAAACTGGGTGTTCGGATTTATATGTCACTTAGTATAGTTTCGTCATATTTAGTTCATAAAGGCATATTTTGGTACAAATCTTTAAGTGAGCCAACTGAAGTGGGAAGAGGCTCGTACATAACAAAGGATATAGTTGCCGAAACGCAACTTGGAATTTTATTTTCAAGGCTGCTGTATGTTTCTGCTAGGTCATGCCTTTATCAAGGGTGACACAGAGGTACTTAGCAGAATTTGTCCATGGTACACGATTGCCGTCTACAGAAACCTCTGCTGTGTGGCCGCGACGTTTTTTGGTACAATAAATATACTGCGTTTTCGAATGATTAATTTTAATGAGCCACCGTTCCGCCCACTCTGGTACTTCTTCTACCGCACTCTGCAGCCCATCGTGAACCAGATCACCAGTACACGACTGGTCGTCAGCATAGAGGTAGACTTCACAGTTGCTGGGACAAGAGACATCATGGATAAGAAGCGAATAAAGGATTGGTCCTAGGACCGAACCCTGAGGAACACCGATCCGTACCGGCCGTGCTGTTGACAAAACATTGTTAATTTTGATCCGAAACTTCCTTCCTTCAAGAAAGGCCTCGTCAAAGGCTTTCGAGACATCCAAAAGCCCTATGCCAATACTCATGCTGAGGGTGAACCCTCTGGTTACACGTTCCACCAGCCTGACTGCCTGTAGCTCGATGCTATGCTCGGACCGAAAACCGAATTGAACGTCAGGAATCACATGGTGATTTGACGAAAAATTCTCAAGATGGCGATAAATCACCTTTTCGGCGAGCTTAGAAGGAGCTGACAGCAGACTAATGGGACGGGAATCCTGAGGAAATATCGAACCCACCTGCTTTGGAATCATGATGACCTCAGCAGTCTTCCACCCCGCAGCGAAGTGCTGGGTTCTGAGCATCGC